GGGGGCGCTCACCGAATGGGACGCACAGGCACACCAGGCACGCCGGCGAGACGTAGTACAGGCTTTGCAGCGGGTTCATGGCCAGGCCCCGCGCGTTTATAAGGATCTGGACCAGCGTGAGCCGTGCAGCCTGCAGGCAGGGCAGCCAGCAGCCAGCCACAGTGCGCACAACGTGGAAGGAACGCGCCTGGCGGCTGTGCAGCAGCGCAGATGGAGCACATGAACGGAATGTCACACAACGGCGTGTGGAGGCCAACATTTGGCAGCATCTGACTTGCCCACCAACCCACAGCCCTGCCTACCCACACCCACAACACGCACCTCAAAGAGTAGCGCCACCAGCTGCTGCAGGAGGCCCTTGATGACCAGGTTGGCCTCGCCCAGGGCGCACACCACCACGCCAAACGCAATCAGCAGCATGTTGGCCGCAGAGTCCCACTGCGGGCAGGCGCAGGCAGGCAGACGCCCTCACGTCAGCCAGCCCCGCAACAGCAAGGCCGAAGGGATGCCTCCTCCTCTGGCGCCACGCATGGCTGCACGCCAGTCCTGCTGCGGACCTGGTACTGCTCCGTCCCCAACGCCACGCCGGAGGCGTACACTAGCCCCGGCATGAGCGACTTGGTCATTTGGATGAAGGAGACTGAGAGGTAGAGGTAGGCTGAATTGCTGAGCCAGAGGCTCGCCGCGTACAGGACGCCTGCAGGGCCGCCAGCACGCATCCTCCCTCAGCGGCCGGCCACCCACGCCAGTGCCGCGCACAGTGCAGCCCGCGCGCCCAACCCTGGCGTGCCTGCAAGCGCCGCGGGCTGGCGGGCTCACCGATTGGCATCACTCGCTGGAAGTAGTCCTGCGGCGACAGGTTGTGGCTCTTCACCAGCTTCAGCACCCGGATGCAGATGAAGCCCACGGTGGAGCAGAAGGTCATGTGCCACATAGTGAGCGCTATGGGGAAGGGGAAGCCCGAGTAGGCCAGCAGCCTGGCAGGCGGCGAGGGAGGGAGGGGCCGAGCCAGGATCGGAGAGTACAGGTGAGGAGCAGGTCACGTGAGGGAGGCGGGCGATTACATGCATGCACGGCAGCGGGGACAGGGGCAGCAGCAGCAGCTGGTGCCTCTCTGCGGGCGCCGGGTGCTGCTGCCAGTGGAAAGATGCTCGCTTGATGGCACTGCTCACCATTTATTAAACAAAATCACTGCAGCAGCAGCCATGCAGCGGCGCACTGTTAGCGTTGAGAGTTTGCGGGTGTATCCATGAATGAAGCAGCAGCGCGTGCCGAACAGTCGTGTCGTGCAAGTGTCTGCAGCCAGGGGCAAGGCACTCACCAGAGATGGACACTCCCATCCATATTACCACGAATGTATATGCCCTGCGGCAGCGAGTATCAAAGGCAGTGGGCAGATCAGCCATGCAGAGCAATAGGCCTTCAGCCTGCTAGCGACTGGTGCTGGGTGCTCAAACGGCAGGCAGCGCCGCTGCCGGCGGGCGGGACTGGCGAGGGTGCCCGCCGCCCCCCCTGGCACCTCCGCCGCGCACCCACGGCCTCTTACTTGAGCACTTGCTGGAGCACGGCGCCGCTTAACACCATGTTTGTTGTCTGCGCGGCTCACTGCCCTGAGCCCGTGCTCCCTCCTGCTCCCCCGCACTGACCAGCCAACGCAATGTTCAGTGTCGCTTTTGCAAGCCGCTTTGCTTTGAGGAGGAGCCGCCGCTGGGATATAGGCCCCACGAGAGGGGGCACAAGCAGCGCCGCACTGCGAGGGCAGAGGACGTGCGACAGCGATGGCACACACACAGTGGAGAGCGAAACCTATGCGCCCCGAATGTACGGGCTTGATGCAGGTACAGTGGCGGTGGCGGGCGCGCCACCGCCGCCTAGATGAGCCCCAGCGAGGATGCAGGTGAAGCGGCACTTGGGTTCGGCACTGTGATTACAGTGCTGTGAGTCTCACAATTGTTCAGGGCTGTCGTGCAGCTGTTCAGGCCTATCTGGATGCACACCCGCGCCTGACCCGAGCATTTTCAGGAATGCAATGGGTCCCCTGCCGGTGGCGCCTGCGCCTCGTCTCGCTGCCGCTGCCACGATGCACGCCACAGCAGCAGGCTGCTGGCAGCATTGGCGGCTGCCAGCCACAGCAGCGCAGGCTCACACTGCCGCGCCGCCACCAGCCCGGCAAATGCCGCCGACAGGAGCAGCCTGCCGGCGATGGTGCTGGCGTAGAAGTGCCTCGGATGGCGACCTGCCACATCATCGAGAGCTGCTCCTATGTAGTACCAGCCGTACAGAGAGGCCAGCACGCCGCCCACCCGCACCCAGCCTGCCGCCACGCGGCTGCATATCACGGCAGGCGCACCGCAGTGGAACAAGGGACACAGTGATGGCGGGGGCTGAGCAGCTAGGGGCTGGGGAATACTGAGCAGCGCTGGCATGAAGCAGCACACCGAGAGCAGGCAAGCAGCCACATGCCCCACCTGGCATCAAACAGAGCACCAAAAGTGGCTGCGGGCAGGCAGAAGACGCACAGCCCGAACACGGCGATGTACGCGCCGGTGCGCAGAGCCACACGCGCCGTAGCTGGCCAGGCGGAGAAGGGCGGCAAGGGTGCAGCCGTGGCGGGCTGCAGGGTCTGGCTGAAGGCATCGCTGTTGCTGTCCCCAGCTGTGGCCCCAGCCGCTCGTGCAGCACCGGCGGCAGAAGGGAGCCGCCGTGCCGGCCCAACACACCTGCAGCTGCCGCCAGACCGCCGATAGTGCCTGGGATGGGTGCCTGGGAGGGCGCAGCACGCATCAATGTGCTGCTGTGCAGCCTGCAGTGCTGCGCAGGTGGCCTGCTGGTTCCGGTGTGGCAGCTGTAGGCTAGGCATCCGCCAGATAGTTGTGCCTGAACGCACTGCAGCCCTGCCAGGCAGTGTCATTGCGCCGTGGCCTGTGTGCCGCTGCCGCCGCTGCCGCTAGGGGTGCTGCCAACAGGACTGCCGCCGCCGCTGCTGCTGCCGCTGGCCTCGAGCGCCTCCCAGTTGTCGAGCGCTTGGTCCACCGCTTGCGCCGCCCTGGCCCGTGCGTCTGCCTGCCACCGCTGGGGAAGCTCTGCGGGGACCGGCTGCACCACCTCGGTGATTGTGGCGACACGGCTCTCCAGGGCCCTGAATGTGATGCAGCAAAGGGAGTCCTTTTTTGATAACACCCAGCTGGTGCAGGCAGCGAGCGGCATGGCAAACAGATGGGCACTTGCGGACACAGAAGCTAGTGTAAGGACGGCCGGGCCACCGGGCGCCCGACTTTGCCGCCACCACCCTGCGAGCCAAACGCCTCCCTGTCGCAGCTGCACTTCAGCAAGAAGCAGCCTGATGCATCTGTGTTGCTGGCTGAGCCCTACCGGACTGCTTTACCGAGTTCACGGAGAAATGAAGACATGGGCTGCCTTCCTGGGCCCGCAGAGCTTCTCAGCGCGTTCCCTTATGGCGGCCGGCGATGTGTTGCTTGAAATGGAGGAGCCTCATGGAAATTTCTGACTGTGTCCGACGTGGCATAGGCCAACGATGGGCGAGAGCCTGCCAAGGCAGGGGCACACCGACACAAGGGGGAAAATGCGATATATCTCCATACTTGCCGCAGCCCCTGGCTTGCGACCCCGTGTGTTCCTCCAGGTTCTCCCCGCGGTCTTGCTCGCCTCCGCCCCTCGTTATTACCGCTCGGGGTTGGCCGGGAGTCCAGGGGTCAGTCGCGGCGCCATTGCCTCCAGGCGCCACTGCCTCCACGAGAGGGGGGCGCGCTGGCGGTGCCGCCACCGCCACCGCCACCGTCGTCATTGCCCTCACGACAACCATGCTGGTGGTGCAGGCGGCTAGATTCTTCTGCAGCGGCTCTGGCAGCATGGTTGGGAAGTACTCGTACCAGTATGCACGCCCTTCCCTAACGGTGGACGCTGTCATTGCGAGCACCTCCTCGCCCCACTCCTTGCTGCTCATCCAGGTGAGTTTGCTAGCAGGCTGATTTTCAAAGTAGTGCACCTTTTCGAAAGGGCCGTTGTTTACCCTGGTCGCAGCGCAAGCATGACCCCTTTGCTGGCAGCTGGGCGCTGCCGGGGGGCTTTGTTGACGAGAATGAGCCGCTGGAGGCGGCAGCGGCCAGGGAGCTGCAAGAAGAGACGACTGTGGACCCTGGAAGCGTGCTGCTGACCCAGGCACGCCGGGCAGGCTGGCCGCTGCTGCATTACTTGGTGCCCTGCCCATCGTGCTACCCGTCGCTGGGCCGTGCCGCGCTTGCTCCTGAGCTGTGCCTTGCTCGCCTCCTCGTCTGATCGCATCAGGTGGGGGCTTTCGGTGATCCCGGGCGAGACCCACGCGGCTGGTGCGTGTCCGTGGCCTTTGCTGCGCTGGTCCCAAGCACAGATCTAGGGGTCAAAGCCGCCGACGATGCCCAGGCGAGCTGCTAATGCGCAAGGGGCATCACAAGATGCAAGAACGTGGCAAGGCACCTGCCGCTGTGCGAACAAGCATGGCCGGTGTAGCAATGCAATCAGCTGCCTTCTTCTCCCTCCCTGCCCCTTGCAGGCGGCGCAGTGGTATCCCATTGGGCAGCTGCCCACGCTGGCGTTTGATCACAAGCTGATTGTCAGGACAAGCTTTAGGCACCTGGCCCGTGAGGGTGCGGTGCAGCAGACGCCAGGCCTGGAGGAACAGCTGGCGCAAGCGGCAGATGGGCTGGAGGGGCCCTGGCAGGAGCAGTGAACTCGCCCGAATGCCAGCCTGTTTGACGCATCAGCTGATGCCGTGCCTGCTGCGCCATTGTTCGCCATGGCACTTACAAGATGGCGTCAGGCGGCACGAGCTGTTGTGAAACTGTAGAGGGCAGGCAGGGCAAGGGACGGCGAGGCGGGGGAGGAGTGCAGTCGTGGCGTCATAGGCCGGCAGCCGGCTGGCGGCGCGCGGCGCGGGGCTACTGGCCAGGCTGATCGCGCTGCTCTGGCGCAAGTATGCGCAGGTCCAGCCACTGCACGCTGTAGTCTGCTGCGTGTGCCGCCAACCGCGACTGCTGCTGCTGCTGCTGCTGCTCCAGCAGCTGGGCCAGGGCGCCACTGAGGCGCAGCAGTGGCCGCGCCTCTGCCGCCTGCTGGTCCACCACCTGGTGCAGCTCCTCGACCAGCGGCTGAGCCTGCGGCCGAGGGCAGGACGGGGCGGCAGCCAAGCCCGTCGGCACAGCAGGCGGCAGGGAGGCGCCAGCATGCCAAAGCCGGCCAGGCAGCCTGCAAGCTGTGGGCCAAGCTGGCCGCCATCACGAGCAGCTGCCGCTGTGGGGGCCACCCTGCCCACCACCCGCAGCCCCCGACCTACCTCTGGCTCGTGGGACAGCTTCACCAGGGTGGCATCCAGCAAGGCGTTGGCCCACTCCAGCGCCTGCCCCATGCGCGGCAGCACCAGCCCCGCAGGCAGCTCCAGCGGCGGCTGCGCCATTTGGTGGCCTGCCAGCGATTGCCACCCGACGGCGCAGCCGCCCACCAGGCGGGCATGGTTGCCACCTGCAGGCCTCACCGACAGCATGTATGAGGTACTGCAGAACCTGCCACAGATGCTGGCCGTGCAGCAGCTGCAGTCGGCTGCTGCTGCCGCCGCCGGCAGCAAGAGCAACTCTTCCTCTTCTGGCTCCAACGCCGTCTCCGATACCAGCAGCAGCAGCAGCAGAAACGACAGGTTTAGCAGCGGCGAGAGCGAGGAGGAGGCGGCGCGTGGCAAGAGCAAGGGCGGCGATAGCTCCCCCAACTGGCCAAGCGCCGGCACGGTGCGGGCACGGCTGGTGGCAGGGAGGAGCCCCCCTCAACGGCCGCACCAGCTCCAAACCTGCCACAAACCCCTCCGCTGCTCACCAAGGCGGAGTTACATGCAGAATCTCAACGTGTCAAAGGCAACAGCATGCCATGCAAAATGCAGATGGCTACACAAACCAACAACTTATTATGGAGTGAACCACCAATCAATCTAGCAGCACACGGGCAGGGAACAGGGTCGGCTGCCAGGCGGGGATTTTGGCGTGCACACAGAAGGTGCGGGCATGCACCAGGGCATCAGTCCTGCAGGCCGCGGCGCTGGCGCTTGAAGCAGCGAGATGCCTCCACCGCTGCCGCCGCCTGCTGAACAACCTCTGCCTCTGCGTCGGCCTGCAATGCCGCGTCAGGGCGTCGTGCGCAGCACGCCAGGCAGCCCCGGCGTGAGCCCACTCTGCCGCAGCATTAGCCTGCTGCACCGCCGGCTGGGCCGCAGCGTGTTCTGTGGCCGCTTCGGCGGCCGCCTCATGCCCCGCAGCAGCGGCGGCCCAGGCCACAGCAGCAGCGGCAAAAGCCTCGGCTGCTGCTGCCCGCGCGTGAGCGGGCCCAGGCGCTGATGCTTGGGGCACGGGTGGCCAGGGCCCGCTGGGGGGCGGCCGCGGCGCCGCCGCTTTGGAAGGCTTGCCACTGGCGCCGCCGCTTTGGAAGGCTTGCCACTGGCGCCGCTGGCGCCTTTACCCTGGCGTGGCATCTCCTCAAGCATCCTAAAGATTTCTTGCACGTCCCTGTCAAACTCCTCCGCCTGGCGGTCAAACTCCTCCGCCTGGCGTTGGTCAACCTCCATCTTTTGCTTCTGCTTCATCATCCAAATCTCGTGGCGCATCTGTATCTCGAGTATTTCCTGCTGTGTACTGGAGCTTAGTTTGGATATTGGTTTGGAGCTTGGCTTGGAGCTTGGTTCAAACAACCAGTCCCACCATGGCCGCTGCGTGCCCTGCATGTCAAGAGGTGAGTGGCAAGGGATGGGTAGACGGGCAGGCGGGTACGGAACGACAGCGGTGCCGCCGCGCAGATTCATGCTGCAGCATGCAGCAGAGTTGGCAGGCCAGCAGGCGCGCAGTCACAGCGTACACGCTGCAGGAGCCACACACGGCCTTACTTACGCTTCCAGGGCTCTGGTCGGGCCGCCGCTTGTGCGCCTCGCCGCCGCCGGCACTGCCAGGGCCCGCTGCAGCAACGGCCACCAGCCTGGGGCGCCACGCCTTCCGTGCTGCGGGCCGAGCAGTGAGCGACAGCGAGGCCTGGCGAGGAAGGGGGACTGGGAGGACATACGTCACCTGGGCGCACTGGCTAGCGTGGCCCCCTGGAAGCCAGGCTGTGTGCAAAGCTCGGCTTCACACAGCCGTGGGAGAAAAGGCGAGTACCTGGAGCCAATTGTCGCCAACGTCGCCAAACCACCTGTGTACCGCCCCTGTGCCGTACAGCGGTGCGAAATGTTTGGCCTCAGCCCTTCACCGCACCGCCCCTTTCGGAAAGCCCGCAACGCCGCAAGCTGCCCCCGCAGCGGCCGCCATGGCGGCAGCCTTCAGCAACTGTCGGCTCATGTCGGCGTCAGGGAGCAGCCACCCTCAATCGGGCGGGCAGGCGGCAGCGAGGCGGCGCCCTCGGTCGGTGCCATGCACCGCTGCCCCCGGGGATGGGCTGCGTGGCAGCGGCTCCTGGACGCCATCAGACCCCGACAGGCAGCGCAGCGTGCGCGCCTCCCTTGGCCCAGGCTTTAAAGCCGTGGAAACCGCGGCTTTGGGTAACGCTCTTGGGATGTTCCTTGGGGCCTGGCCCTAATGTATGTGGTGGAGAAGCGCGACAAGGCGGCGGCGTTGCGGGCACCAGAGGTGAATCTGCAGGAGGACAAGTACAGTCTGCTGGAGGAGAAGTACCGTCTGCTGGAGGCGAAGTGTCGTGTGGTGGAGGGGCAGCGCCGGGCAGCTCTGATGCGCGCCGCTGGCGTCACCAAAAAGCTGGCAGCGGCGAACAAGACCATTACGCAGCTTAAGAAACAGTTGAAGGAGCAGCAGCCCGCAGACGGCGAGTAATCGCCAATCATCTGGCCATCACAGAGGTGGGCAGCAGGGTGGGGCTGCTGCTGTGGGTGCATACAATCAGGCAGGCTAGCAGCAGCGAGCTGCACTGGCAGACAGATGCCGCTGCCAGCTGCCTCCGTCTCTCACATTCTCACAGTAGCCTGGCGCTCATCCGCCCCTATTGCCGTGCACCTCCCCCTCCAGCCTGCCTGCTGCCGGCGCGGCCTCCTCCGGCGAAGGCACTCAGGACCCGCCGCCCCCGCTGCTGGAGCCAGCTGCGCCTGGCCCTGCCGCCCCGCAGCCTGCAGCCACGCCGCTCGAGGCTGCCCGCCGCGCGGCTCTCCGCTCATTCTGGTCCCTTCTTGCTGATTTTGAGGCCCTGGGCTGTGCCCCCGCCTCCTGGGTTGGCAGCCTCGGCCCCGACCGCCCCCTATTCTTCTCTGCTGGCGGCCGCGTTCAGCTCCGCCCCCCTCCTGTTCCTCCCTCTCCTTGATCATCTGTCGGCCCCACCTGGCCGTTCCCCACCTTTTGCCTGACTGTTACCTCCTCCAAGCTTTCTCATGTCTGTCCTCCTTCATCCCGCCTTCTGCCTGCCTGCCCTGCCCTTGTGCCCGCCGCCCTGCTGCCGCGCTGCTCGCCTGCTGTGCCGGCTTGCATCGGGTTGCCCGTACGCTGTCGGCTGCTGCCTGGCTGTGGTACCCCTTGGCTGGCTATTGCGCCGTGCGAGGTTTGCTAGGAACCAGTGGAGGTGGTTGCGCTTTTCCGCAGTCACGCCATCGGGTACCCGCTGGCAGTATGCTGCAGTGCCTGTGCGCCCGTGCCTGCTCGTGGGCTGCTGTGCCTGCCGCGCTGCCGCTCGGTGTGCTTTCCATGGCGTCCCCCTGGCACCCCCTCTCCTCACTGGGCTGGCTCCCAGGCACCCTCCGCTGCCCCCCGCTGTGCCCGATCGGCTCCTCGCAGCCCCGCGCTCCGCCACCCTGCCTGTTGGTTTGTTTCAACCTTGTATTGTCCAAAGCTAGTGGGCACGGCTTGTGTGTCCCCAGCCCTGTAAATAGCCCGGTTCTCTGTTATCTCAGTCAGCCCCTCCAGATCGGCAGGTTCAGATCAAGGCAGAGAGAATTGGTTGGCGCAGCGGACCCCCTTCCAGAAGAGAGCGAGCGCCTGCAGTGTTTCTGATTCCTCAACATCTGTCGTACTCTGTTTACAGTCAATCGGAAGTGAAGGGGCTCTTGAAGCAGCACACCAGTGGTTCAGAGTTACATGCAGGTGCACAACAGGCGGAGCATGCACAGCTGCAAGGGTTGAGCGGGTGCAGCAGCAGCGCAGTGGCATGCCAAGCGCGCAGCGCTGCAGGCCTGCTGCCGCCCAGCGCGCCGCTGCTCCCACAGCCGCCACTGAGACCTTCGGTGCGCAGCAAAACCGCCACGCCTGCTGCGGGCGGGCGTGGCTGCCTGCCACCTCGAGTGCCACCTCGGGACCCGAGCCAAGCTGAGGCCACCATATGGGCACCATAGCCAGCAGGTCAGCCAGCGCCGGCGTCAGCCCTGCATTGCAGTCGATTGCCACCTACAGGTGGGGCGGATCGAACATGCCTTGCCACCAGCAAAGTGTGTCAAACCGCCGCACTCGGCAGGGCTTGAGGCAGCAGCTGCGCTGTGCGACCTCCGGCCAGTCATAGCGGAGGGAACGCTGCCGCCACCACTAGCAGCAGCATGCAGTCACCGTCATAGGCCGGCAGCCGGCTGGCAGCGCGCGGCGTGGGGCTACTGGCCAGGCTGATCGCGCTGCTCTGGCGCAAGTATGCGCAGGTCCAGCCACTGCACGCTGTAGTCTGCTGCGAGTGCCACCGACCGCGACTGCTGCTGCTGCTGCTGCTGCTCCAGCAGCTGGGCCAGGGCGCCGCTGAGGCGCTGCAGCGGCCGCGCCTCCGCCGCCTGCTGGTCCACCACCTGGTGCAGCTCCTCGACCAGCGGCTGAGCCTGCGGCCGAGGGCAGGACAGGGGGCGGGAGCCAAGCCCGTCGGCACAGCAGGCGGCAGGGAGGCGCCAGCATGCCGAAGCTGGCCGCCATCACGAGCAGCTGCCGCCGTGGGGGCCGCCCCGACCCGCCACCCGCAGCCCCCGACCTACCTCTGGCTCGTGGGACAGCTTCACCAGGGTGGCATCCAGCAAGGCGTTGGCCCACTCCAGAGCCTGCCCCATGCGCGGCAGCACCAGCCCCGCAGGCAGCTCCAGCGGCGGCTGCCACCCCACGGCGCAGCCACCCACCAGGCGGGCATGGTTGCGCAGCAGCGCGGCCAGGTAGCCCAGCAGCCGCACCGCCTGCTGGGCGGGCAGACTGCGCAGCGCCTCACGCAGCGTGGCGGGGCGGTGGCGGGCCGCCACCAGCGGGTGCAGGCAGCTGTCTGCGGGTGTGAAACCCTGCACTGCCGCCTGGCAGCAGGCCGACACCGCACGCTCCCGCGCCCCGGGAACCGCCAGCGGCGCAGCCACCGGCGGCGGCGCAGACTCGGCGCCTTGCTGCCCGGCCGCGCCGCCCGCCGCCGCCACATCCGCGGCGTCGGCCTCTTCTGCTGCCCTCCGCCGCCGGCGGCGGCCCAAGGCCCGGCCGGGCGTGGCCGGGTCCTCGCCCTGCTGCTGCTGCGCCTGCTGCGCCTGCTGCGCCTGCGGTCCCGCCGCCGCCGCCTGGCGCGCCGCCTCGGCCGCTGCCGCGGCCGCCGCGGCAGCGGCCTCGTGCCGCTCTATCCGACCCCGCTCCGCCGCCTCGCCGCTGGCCGGCGACAGCAGCACGTGCAGGAGCGCCGCCACCTCCGCCGGCGGCGTGTCGCCGCTGCCGCAGACCAGGCGCTCCATGGCCCCCAGCTGGCCGGCGTCGGCCGCCGCTGCCGCCAGGGCGGGCACATCGCTGAGCAGGCCGGGGTGCTGCACCTCCAGGATAGCCGCCACCGAGCCCCAGTGCTGGTGCTCTGCAGGCGTGGAGAGGGGGCGCACGTGTGCGGCGGCAGGGCGTCGAGCGGAGCGGCAGTAGCAGCAGCCTTGCGAGCCGCGGCAGCCATGGGCATGGATGCAAGCTTGGCGAGGCGCAGGAGGGGCAGAGGGGGCTCAGAGAGATTCCCACAGTACAGCTTTCTTCAGCGGGTGTCAGCTGTCTCTATCTACTTTGATTGACTGAGGTCATCACAGCCCCTTTCTCTGAGTGCGCGACCAGGCGTGCTGTGCACGCGCCATGTGTGCAGGACAGGGGCAGCACAGATGCACACAGCAACGTGCAGCACGGGCAGCAGAGCGCCACAGAATGGGTGCCGAGGCCGAGCCGGCACGCCGCCGCCGCCGCTCACCTGCCGCCAGCATGAGCAGCCCGCAGAGCAGCCGGTGGGAGAGGGGGAGGCCGGTGCGGCGGCGCAGCTCCAGCAGCGGCTCCAGCGCCGCGCGCAGCGCCGCGTCGCTGCCCAGCGCCGCCGCCGCGGGCTGCTGCACCGCCTGCCACACGCGCCGCTCCTCGGCGGCGACCGCCGCGTCGCCCTCTGCATCCGTGCACCTCACGGACACCTCCCTGGCTCGCACCAGCCACTGCCCGGGCTGCTCCGGCTCCTCCAGCTGCATGTCCACCACCACAGGCCGCAGCGCGCCGCCAAACGGCGCGCACAGCGCCGCCAGCTCGTCGCCGTGCAGCACCCGGGCCGCGGCCGCCGCCGCTGGGCTGACCGCCGCGGTGGAGCCCAGCAGCGCGCCGGCCGCGCCGCCGCCGCCGGCCGGCGGCGGCAGGGGGAGCAGGCCGCTGCCGGCGGCGTCGCCGCCGCCGCCGCCGCGCCGTGCGGCCGCCAGCGCCTTGTCAACTGACAGCGCGCCCAGCAGGTTGACCAGGGTGGGAGGTTTCAGGTCGGAGCAGGTGACAATCAGCACAGCGGTGCCCACTGTGACCGCCAGCTGGTTGCTGCCTGGGCCCAGGCTGCCCACCTGTGGCAGCAGCAGGGGGGGCAGGTTTCGGCCAGGTGGAGTGCAGGGGCGAGGGCAACAGCGAGACGGCAAACAGCTGTAGTGGTGCCGGCAGATGATGGGCTGGGTGCGATGCATGGATGGCATGCAGTGGCGCAGGGCGGAATGCGGTTGGCATGTCTGCTGGCGTGCGCCAGGCCGCGAGGGGCGAGCAGGGCTGCCAGGCAGCCCTGCCCCCAGCGCGGCTGCAGCAAGGGGCAGGCCCATCCTGCCGGCGCATGCAAGCATCCGCGCAGGGCGGCCGCCGCAGGACGCGGCGGCGCGGCGGCGCGCGGGAGGCTGCTGTGGCACAGGAATGACTCAATTAGCCTCCACCGGAGCGCCTGGCGGCGCAGGAGGGTGATCTCAAGGCCTGTGCGTGCGTGGCGGGAGCGTGCATGCTCCGCGCGGCGTGCATGCTATGCACGCGTGTGCAGGCGGAGCAGCGCAAACAAGGGTGCGTCCAACTGCGCACCTGGACCGGCTTGCTGGGGTCCAGGGCAGCCAGGCCCACATCTGCTGCGCTGAAGTCGTGGGCAATCTGCACGCAGGCCGCCGCCTGCTCCAGCACCACAAGCCGCAGCACAGCAGCGCCTGCAGGGCATGGCGAGCAGGGCAGTCAGGGTGGGTGGGTGAGGGGCTTGATGCCAGGGGCGATACAGAGATGCAGGTTTGGCAAGGGCGCAGGAGGGTGCGGGAGGGAGGCCGGGGCTCAGAGAGATTCCCACAGTACAGCTTTCATCAGCGGGTGTCAGCTGTCTCTATCTACTTTGATTGACTGAGGTCATCACAGCCCTTTAGCTCCCAGCAGGCAAAACACAGAGTGGATGCAGGCAGGCAGGACAGGCAGGCAGCGGCAGGCAGGCAGGGCAAGCGTGCACAGCAATGTGCAGCGCGGCGAGGCGGCTGCAAAGCACATGAAGCTCAGCTGGCCCGGCTGCCCTCACCTTCGCTGCCAGCCGCCCAGCCCACCACCGCCACCTGCTTCTCGCCCATCGCCGCCATGGCGACGCCGCCTGCCGCCGCCTCGGGCTCTGCCGCGGCGCCGCGCTTCTTGCCGCCGCCGCCCTTCTGCTTGCCGGCCGGCAGGCGGAAGCCCGCCAGCCGCCGCTGCACCGCGGCCCGTCGGCGGGGGCCGGCGTGGTCTGGGCCCGGCACCAGCGGCCGCTTGTCGCCAGGCACCAGGTAGAAAGCAACCGTGCCATCTGACCACAGCACGGCGGTACGCTCGGCCGTGGTGGCGGCCGCCACGGCGCGGCAGCCGGCGCTGGGAGCCACCAGCTCAACCGCAGGCTCCACCTCCAGCTTGCCGCCCTGCTGGCGGGAGGCGAGGGGCAAGGGGGGCAGGCAGAAAGGAAGGGTCGACCCAGCACGGCATGCAGGATCGGCCCAATGCTGGGCGGGCTCATGAAGGCGGCCCCGCAGAGCCGCAAGCATGTCTCTGTCCGAGGATGAACACAGCACACACTCGGTTCTCTCCTCTCACACAACACACACATCATCCAGACACACAAAAGCACTATCACCCCCAGCACACCTGCACGCGATAGACGGTGGCGCTGGCGGCGCCGCCGGCGCGCGGCTCGGCATGCACCGCCACCAGCACCCCTCGCTGGTAGGCTGCAGCCACCGTGTGCACCACCCGCGCCTCCTCCGCCTCCGCCACCACCTCGGTGCCGCTGCACAGCGCCGCGCCGCCCGCGGCAAACACCGCCACCGCACCGGGCACCGCCGCGCCGCTGCCGTCCACCTGCTCCGCCTCAGCCTTCTCCTCCGCCTCGGCTGCCGCCGCCTCCTCCTCCTCGCCCTCGGGCGTGTGGCTCACGGGGAAGAGGGCGTGCAGGGCGGGCAGGTGCATGGACCGCGCCAGCTGCGTGATGCTGCCGCCGGTGGCGTCGGCCGACCAGGCCAGCACGCTGCCGCCGGTCTTGCCCGCCGACGCCGTGCCGCGCTGCCGCACCGGCGCGTAGCACACGTTGGTGGCATAGTCGTAGACCGCGGCGCTGCTGAACTCCTGCTCCGTGGCGCCTAGCGCCCAGGCCGCCACGGGCTTCTGTGTGAAGAGGGAGCAAGGCAGAGGGGGATGCAGCAGCGTTCGCGCAATGATGGCTTGCAGCTGTACACTGGGTGCTGTTACGAGCGGGTGACACGGCGAGGAGCTGCGGCAGGGCCCTGCAGCGGCCTGCCAACCATGCATGCGCTCTTGCGGGCTCAACCTGCGGGCCCTCCTGCCCCGCCATCGATTCATCACACTCACCCTGGTGTCTACATCATAACAGGTAACGCCATCGCCTTGCACAGACACCAAAACTCGCCCTTTGCCGAGGCTACAAGCCCCTGCCACAGGCCCTGTGCACAGGGGGTACACATGTGACATCTCCCGACAATGTGGGCATTGGTGGGAGGCGCTGGGTGTGATATACGCAATGAAATTCGGCCGCCAACGTGGCACGCCCAGAGAGCTGTCCTATCGTCCCCTGCGCAATCGGCCAAGTGTCTGAGCCGCAGGTGCTTGCTTTCCCACCCTCAGGTGCCCGCATGCAGCTCCCAGCACAAGTGGACATCGCTGGACTTCGCTGCTGAAGGGCTGGGCGAGCGGCGAGATGAACGTGGACATCGGCCTGATCGCTGAGCTGCAGCAAAACACGGTCAGCCGCCCCACCAACCTCCCGACTGCTGCCGCCAGCGCCGCCGCCAAGCGCCCGCCCTCCCTGCCTGCCTGCCTGCCGCTGCTCGGGGCGTCCGAGCAACATGCATTCCTGCTCATCACGATGGATAGCTTGCCCGATACGCTGTGCCGAGCCACCAGCGTCACGGTTTGGGCGCGCAGCTCGCGGCCTCTGCACCCCCGCCCACTGCCTCCGCCCGCCGCCCGCTCTCTGCACCTGTGGCCTGCAGGACCGCATCCGCAATGTGTGTGTGCTGGCCCATGTGGACCACGGCAAGACCACGCTGTCAGACCACCTCATCGCCTCCAACGGCCTCATCCACCCCAAGCTGGCGGGGGAGGTCAGGTGGGGCGGCCCGCCCCGCGCAGCCGCTCCTCCACGGGAGCAGCTGTGTGTTGCCACCTCGGTGCAGCCTGCCAGGCTGCCAGCTGCTGCTGTGTGTGTGTGCCACCCAGCGATGTCCCGGTGCCGCCCGTACCGCACTGTACCACCGCAGGTACATGGACAGCAAGGACGACGAGCAGGCGCGCGGCATCACCATGAAGAGCTCCTCCATCTCCCTCCTCTTTGTGCCCGGCGCCGCCACGCGCGCAGACGGGCCCAACAGCGTGCCCCGCGCCGAGCGCCTGCAGCAAGGTGGTCGGCCGGGGGCGCGGGGGCCGCCGCGGCTGCCGGCGCCAGCCATCGCCCTTGCCCCGATGCTTCTCCACATACTCCCCACCTCTCCACACCTCACACACCTCGCACACCACACAACTCAATACACCACACACCATCCCGTT